GGGGGGGAGGAGCCGGAAAACCTCGAACTTTAAACTTACACTCACTATTTTCTTCGAAAATATACGTGAGTTCCACAAAATATAACAGACAGGTCCAGTGGCCTGCCTATACCTTTGATAGACACTATCGGTATCAGTGTGGTATTTGAACTGTTTCTCTTCCTTGAGCAACTATGAAAAATTAGCTTCAATTTTATATATTTTCTGAAGGCACAGTTGAAAAACATCTTCATCAGTTATTTTGAGACTTTCAGTCAAATTGATTTTATAATCTGATATCTATCATGTTGCATCCTCGAACTTATTTGACGTCCTAAAGAACTGTTTTTACCGTGAATCCAATTTTTGATACTTAGTCACAATTTGTTGCTTCGTGTGATCGTACACTTAACAGCACTATCGACATAAATGTCAACAGTTATAAGTAAACACGTACGAAGCCAATCTTTTTTGCCTTGATTCAGACTTTGAATAGCTAACAGTCTTTTTCATAGATGCTCCATTAGACATTGGGTTAAGTTCCGAGTCTAGTTTACCATGATTTTAATTTAGATGCAATTTATCCTTCTATTCAGTCGATAAGGTAAACTTCGTCTTCAAAAATGGTATACATCACAAACCGAAAAATCCAAGAAAAAAAATAACACGTGAAATAACTGCAGCTGTTCTTTCACGCAAACAAAAAATGTCAAGTTTTCTCGAATGGAAAGATCTTAAAATAGTTTATAAACGGTAAATATTGATCATCTAGTTTTATGTCTCTCATTGATAAGCTTTTTTTATATCTTACTTAAAAGTTATGCTAGCCTTTATTTTTGTTGTGCTATTGAACAAGATGATAATGAATTATTAACACTTGAAACCATACATCGTTATGTTGAATTACTTGATAAATATTTCGGCAGTGTAAGTCACCATGTTCTTTTTTCGCATATTTTCCTATAATTCCATAAACAGGTTTGTGAGCTTGATATAATATTTAATTTTGAAAAAGCTTATTTTATCTTTGACGAGTTCATTTTGGGTGGTGAAATACAAGAAACAAGTAAAAAAAGTGTTTTAAAAGCTGTTAATGATCAAGATGTTATTCAAGAGGTACGTTTTCTAGATGAATTTTCGATTCAATGCAAAAGCTATTTACACTTACATTTATGTTTTGCAATCACGCTTTTTCATAAGATGATGCACTTAAAGAACTGATTTATAAAGACAAGTTTGTTTAATGATGTTTTTTTCTTGTAATTCAGAATCCTTAGTTTTCTTTTTCATGATGAAAAATAATTATTCACAAATGCATAATTCTGTGCTTTCTTAGCTTTAATTTCATCCATCTTTCTAGGTAGAACTATCACAATATCTCTTCGATGATTATGGTCTTGGATAGTAAAACTTTGTAATGTGTCTTTACACGTTTTGCATTTACTATAATTATTTAGTCAGATTGAATTTTCTTCTTCAAATTAAATAAGAAACGTATATCATGCATGAAAATAGTTGATGCAAGCGTGTGTGAATAAGTTTTCTCAACCATACACTTATTCTATGTTTTTGATATTTAGTTTAATTAGTTTTTTTGTATTTTAGGAAGAATTAGAGGAAAAACGAAGTGTGTTGGAAGATCTTGGTTTGGCTTAAATAAGTGAGATTTTATCTATATGGTCATGGATTCAATTTTTCATTGGACATTTTTCCGTTATACATTCAGATTGTACTTGTTTTAATTATGCGACTATTTATACGAAAAAGTTTTTAATCAATAAAAAGATTGATTAATCATATCATGATATCAGCTTGATTTTATTTGAGTACTGAACCGAATTTCACATATAGAAGTTTTCATGTATAAATTGATAAACTTCTCCATTGTAACTGACAACGCCATGCTAGAAAAATAAAAAGGTGTGTTACATTTTGAGTTGATCTTCATGATGAAGAATTAAGTTTAAATTTGACGACAATTTTGTTTTTTTAATGTTGATACTTAAAGAGGTTTTTAGAGTATTTGCCTTAACATTAATAATAGTGTTGCTATGAAGCAACTCCCAATAAGCTGAAAAAATGAACTTGAATGTTGTAAACTAAAAGGTAGATTCTTATGATTTTTACTTCTCTGTTTAAAGTATCAATTAACAAACATTTCCATTGTTATAGTATTAGAAAAAAAAGCAATATAATAATAATTGTACAGAGAAAGTGTTCGATCTAGTCGTGCGGGGAAAGAATGTTTAAACAATTCTTTGTTTTCTTCTACAATACAAAGCAATATTTTCCATATTTATTGTGTACTACATATTAAATGCTTGAATTCAGGCTGCTTTGTATGATTAACATGACTGCAAGTGGGTTAATTCTTCGGCTTAGACAGTTGAATATAGCAAGTAAATTTCATTGGTGATTGCATAATTGTATTTATTCAGAAGATAAAGTTATGTTACCTAATTTAACTTATGAAAAAAGCCTGTAGATGATTTGCCTAGAAACTTACTCGAAGGCTTCTATTCCTGTTTCAAGTACAACCTTGTTATGACCTGTATCTTCTTCAGATGCAGTCATAAGGGTTTTCCCT